GGTCGTGCTCATACTTTTTTTTTTAGCACATAGTACAAAAAATCTCTTAATATAAAACATCAGGATCTGATTGATGAATTTAACAGAAACGAAAAATGATAGACGATGTCGTAATATTTTAAAAATAGAACATAATAGTACACACAAAATATACCAATATTTGAACTAATTCTGTTTCCTGCCAACAACTAAAATTTAACTAAAACGATTCAAACCGGTAGTATAAAGGTTACATAAAAGTATAATACCGATAATTAGATTATGGAACAGCTACTTATTACCAACTTTGTAGTTAATAGCTACTAAAATTGTATACCACTTATCATTGGAGTAAAAATGCTACTAATCAAACCTTATAGTATTATTTTTGTGATTATGTATTTCTGCTACAAGTAATATATAAAATTTCTGTTTTAAAAGCAACTAGGATATTACCCGCGTTATACGCGGGATAATGTGATATGCGAATAAAATTAATATAGTGTTAGTTTAAAAAAATTGTCTATAATTATTGGAAAAATTATGATACGAAATCTAAAACTTGTTTATATATATGAATTACGCAATTATTTTGTATACAAATGTATTCCACCCGTGAAATAATTAAAAATAATAATTTTTTTCATTTTTAGTCAATATATATCACTTATTAATTAAATATATTTATTTAATATCATAATCTTCAAAAATACGTTTATGACTCAAATATACAAAACAAAATATTACAAATATGAATTCAATTTTATAGATTGAAAGTAATTATGAGGGTAAGTGAATATTGCAAACATTAATTGAACATGTCAATCACGTAATATCTATTTTTTGTCCCTAGTTATTTGGTTACCTTATTAGATTTTATTTTCTGTTTCCGTAAAATTTGATTTTAATCTAATCAAATTAGATTTGGTTGGTAATAGTATCCTAAATTTTGGTAACTACTACTTAATTTTCTTTAGATAATGTAATTTCGATATTTTTTTTTTTTGCAACTCAGTTTTTAGTTTCATATTTCTAAGTATAGTTTTATGTTGAGTTTTGGCAACTTTTTTGTTAACAAAACCATATTTGGTGAATATTTAGAATATATAAAATTTGGTATCATTTCAAATACATTTTTTTTTTTTGAAAAAACTATGGTTAAGATTAAAACATTAAAAAATTGAATTTTTCAAGACAAATAGAAAAAACAGAGATTAGATGATTAAATTTAAAACATATAAGAAAAACAATATTTAATATTTAATAAATTATATTTGTGATCGAAAAATGAAAAAATTCAATAATATACGATAAGATTCAAATTTTTCTAGAGTTTTCAATTTGTAATGTTTATAAAATAGTGTGAAATGAAAATGTTNTNGTTTTGAAGGTAAGCATATATTTTCAGAATTTTTAATGAGTTAAAAAATTAGCTATTTATTAAAGTTTGTAATGTGTTTGGCAATTGAACTAAAAGTAACCAAAATAGATATAGCAAGTGAAATAGTATTTGGCAAATGGGATATAGAATTATAAATAAAAAGAAATTTTAAATAAAAAAAAAAGATTGAGAAAAATTGTGGGATTTTGTTCTAAAATGCTTCTCCTAGAGGTCCGAAAAGTGGAACTAGGTATGTAGAACGTTTTATGAATTAGTGGTTTAATTCTCCGCTCGTCGAAGCCCTTTTTAAAAAAGAAAAATACTTCCATAATTTGGTTGATGTTGTAACTAATTTTTTTGCTAATTTAAATATTTGAAGATTACATAAAACATAGCACTAGTAGAACTTGGAAAGGCCAATCATCCAAAAATTACAATGACCCCACGTTAATAACAAAAGATTACGAAAACACCGTTTGACATCAATCATCATGATCGTGGACGCAAGGCTTCAAAATTCAGCCCATGAGCCACTTGACCAGCACAAGCGACCCAAGGGTTGATCGGAACGGGTCGGTGATGGTTCGACGATGGCCCACCCACGCGCTCGCACGACGGACACATGATGAGTGTAGTTGGTGGAGTCATTTGGCCGTAGAATTGGGGAGATAGCTTTAGAGCTCGAAGCTCCATTGCCTCTTTCTGCAGTCTCCGATTCTCCTCCGTTAGTTTCTCTACGCACCGTTTTAAGTACTCGCAATCCACCTCCGTTTGCTTCAATTTTGTCCTGTAACCAACAAAAAAAACTCTGTTAGAGACATTTTTGAACCAAATTGGAATAAACTGAAATGTAGATCACACTTATACTCAGGGGTATAAATGTCATTTTCTACTTGGAGTTGAGAAAGGAAAATCTCACCTTGCTCTTCTGTTCTGGAACCAAACTTCCACTTGTCTTGCTGTCAAGTTCAGCTTCTTAGCCAAAGCTAGCTTCTGTTTCTGCAAAATGACAATAATACCCCTCGTTATTTCAGAGTAACTACAAATAATACCATTAATTTCTCTTTGAGTGAGATTTGTCAACTTACGGGATTGAGAGTGTTGTGTTCTTTGAAAGTCTCTTCGAGAAAAGCAGATTGGTCCTTAGACAATCTGAGCTTCTTCCTCGACGTTTCTCCGCCGTCTTCTTCTTCGTCGGAGGTTCCTCGTGAGTACCCTCGATCCGGAGTTAGCTCGTCGTGGTCATCGCCTGTGCCGGAGATTCCTTCTCTTTCACTTCTCTTTCCGCTTATGGTGCTCGAGATCGTACTGTTTGGTGACGAAACTCCTGTCTCTTCCTCACAATCCACCGTAGATGGATGACTGTTCACGTCTATTTTGCGAAGATCTGC